GACATTGTTTTGTTCTGCTGTGCATGGGGTCGCTATGAGTCGGTTCCGACTCAATGGCACCTGACAACAACAACAACGCTACCAGAGCTGGGGTCATTATGAATCAGAACCGACTAGACAGCATATAACAACAAACAACAATATTTTATTGTTACTTTTGCTATTCATGTGATGTGTGACTTATGACTTACTCTTCTTAGTCTTTATTTCCCCCATCTGTGAAAAAGGAAACTTATGCTGGCTTAGATTCATTCCAGTTCTGGTAGACTATGCCCTCTACACTTCACACATACCCTTTTGATTTTTTTTTCTTAGTTGTTTGTTTTCTACTATTACATCTTTGAATGTTGAATGTGTTTTATTGGTCGGATCTTAATCAGGCATTCCTATTTTCTCAGGTTACATCTCTCTTCTATGGTTTCATTTTACCTCATATCTTTCTTGTCCATCTTTGTTTTAGACATATTTTCATCTTGGTTTGTTGCTTTGGTTTCAACAGTCTCAATCCTAATGCTCACAGCTCCCAATAATTTTGTTAATCAATCTATCACAGGTTTTTAAGTTTTTATTTCTATTTCGATCTCAGTCCATTTTTGACTAGCTATGGCAAAACTTTCTTGATTTGGTCTGTATTAGAAGAGAAGTACAGCAAAAAGATTTATGCAGAAGAAACAGCATTACATAATGGGAGAAAACAAGTTTCAAATTCAGAGATACCTGGGTTTGTAACAAAAGTTTGGAAAAACAGCTTTACTCTGAGCCTCAGCTTCATCACTACAAAACACAAATAAGAATACCTTAAAGTTGTAAGAATTAATCAATATGTATACAAACTGGTTGGTTCTGTAGTATAGAGAAAAGCTCAGTCAATGGCATTCATTTATAGAAATCAAGTATTCTCTAAATTCTTTTCACAGTTTTGAGAGAATGATCATCTAAGAGTTAAACTTTTACTAGGATCATACTCATATCGTTTGTGTGACTAGACTTTCATGAGCCCCATATTATTTTCAACTAATTTGTTTCCCCCCTAAATACAATTATTTGTTTTATCTTTGAGGATGCTGAAAATACATCAATCTTAAATTATTTTTGTTGTTGTTGTTAGGTGCCATCAAGTCATTACCGACTCATAGGGACCTATGCACAATAGACTGAAGCACTGCCTGTTCCTGCACCAACCTCACAATCGGTGCTACATTTGAGCCCATCAGTGTTGCCTCTGTGCCAATCCATTTCATTGGAGGTCTCCCTCTTTTACTCCGACACTCCACTTTACCAAGCATGATATCTTTCTCCAAGATTTGCTCTACCCTGACAAGATATCCAAAATATGAGAGATGAAATCTGGCCATCCTGGCTTCCAGGGAGCATTCTGGCTGTACTTCTTCCAACACCAATTATTTGTTCTTTTGGTAGGCCATGGTACTTTTAATATTCTTCTCTAACACCATAATTCAAATGTATCAATTGTTTTATGGACTTCCTTATTCACTGCCCAACTTTCACATACATCTGAAGTTATTGAAAATACCATGACTTGTGTCAGTGCAAACTTAATCCTGAAACTGACATCTTTGCTCTTCAACACTATAAAGAGGTCTTGTGCAACAGATTTGCCTAATGCAATAGATCATTTGATTTCTTGACTGCTGCTTCCATGAGTGTTGATGGCTGAACCAAGCAAAATGTAGTCTTTGATAATTTCAATCTTTTCTCCATTTATATGGATGTTGTTTATTGGTCCAGTGGTAAGGATTTTTTTTTACATTGAAGTGCAATCCATACCAAAGGCCGTGGTCTTTGATCTTCATCAATAAATATTTTAAGTCCATTTCCCTTCTGGTCAACAATACTTTGAGGAGGCAGCTCTTCCCCAGTCATATTTTGAATGCCTTCCAATCTGAGGGGCTCATCTTCTGGTGGTACATCTGACAATATTCTGGTGCTTTTCATCATGTTTTAATATTCAATATTCTGGTGCTGACAGTGTTCCACTATTATTCAAAAGGTTTTTAGTGGCTAAATATTCAGAATAGTCAGTCTCTCCTTCTCCCCAATCTTTCTTCATCTGGAAGCTCAGCTGAAACCTGTCCACCTTGGGTGGCCCTACTAGTATTTTAAAAATCCGTGGCATAGCTTCCAGAATCAGAGTAACACACAAGCCACCACAGTATGACAAACTGATAGACAAGTTGGTACTTGAATTAATTAAGCAGATTAACTTTACTAAAGTCTTATGATTATAGACAAACAGCCTTTTTTTTATCTCCACAAATTTGTTGCATCCTTTCCTAATATCCCCCAAGGATAAAATAGTTTCTTAATATCCACAAATGATTATGTAAATACAATGCCTTCCATGAAACCTAGGAAACTTTGGTTACATCAGATACTCCAGTTTTGAAAAGTAGTCTATATAGTTATTCCCAACAGTGCTCAACACACTGAGGACAGGGTCACACTCAGTGTCCTTCAACTGGTATCCCCAGCATCAAGCCTGGTACCTGAAGCACAATTAGCTTTCAATAGATGTTCGATGAATGAAGAAATGACTGTGTCCTGTGTTCTACAGAATAGTGAAAGTCCCTGTAGTTCTTCTAAAAGACTAAAGAGAGTAGAGTTCTGTTGTCAAAATACTTGGGTAAACAGAATTAAATAAAGATGAAAAACAAAAAAAACAGCAAAAATGAACCAGGATCCTTTAGTGTAGTATTTCTCAGAACTGCTAATATTTTATTATTTTTTATGGACTTTTAAGATAGGAATACAGGTTTCACAATTGCCAGAATTTTTTAGCCACAGAACTCTGTTTTTTGGAAGCTCAGTTACCACCAGGATTCTCTTGCAAAGCCCTTTGGGTACATGCTATTCAGCACTTATCTCATATATTAGATTTCCATAGGAAGATTTAAAAAATCAAGATACTAGATTAGCTGGAATTTTGACTCATTTAATACATTTTATCTTTAAGAAAGTAATAAGCTGTCATTGTTACCAATGCCACATAATGATTTGACTCATTCCTTTAAGGCAAGTTACCAGAGGCAATACAGGAATGAGACTCTGACGCAGAGTGCAGTCCAGTTGTTGGTAGGTGCAGCAGGAAGCTTTGGTGAGAAGAAAGGAGTGTAAGTATCTTGTTAAGAGAAGGCTTCCATTCTATGTTACTGCATTTAAGAAATGATGCAAGTGAGTTTTCTTGTTTTTGTCTGGTAACACATTTAGTAAAATGTGTCCTAATCGCTGCCTGTTCTGCACCTCACACTCAGTTAAATCATCTACTTTTCATGTCCCAAACTTGACTCTACACATTCACAGCTCTGCGTTTAAGCAAATTTCTCCTTCTGACTAGAATGCTCTTTCCTTACTCCTTCTGTCCATAAGAATTAAGCTGTGGTAAAATACTATCCCAATGCTATCTTCAAATAAAAGACACAGACTTTATGTGAAGGTGGGGGATAAGGAAGGGTTGAGGCCAGAATTATGGCTAATTATATAGGCTGTTGTTGTTGGGTTACATGGAGTCAGTACCAACTCAAAGTAACACTATGCACAACAGAATGAAACACTGCCCAGTCCTGCACCAACCTCACAATCATTGCAACATTGGAGGCCATCGGTGCTGCCATTGTGCCAATCCATCTCATTGGGGGTCTTCCTCTTTTTCTCTGACCCTCCACTTTACCAAACATGATATCCTTCTCCAGTGACTGGTCTCTCTTGCCAATATGTATGAATTATGAGAGGCAAAGTCTGGCCATCCTGGCTTCCAAGGAACATAGCTGTAGTTATTCCAACACAGATTTGTTTGTTTGGGGGAAGTCCATGGTACTTTTAATATTCTCCTCCAACACCATAACTCAAATGCATCAGTTCTTCTATGGTCTTTCTTATTCACTGCCCAATTTTCACATGCATATGAGGTTATTGAAAATACCATGACTTGGATTGTTGTGAAGTGCCATCGAATCAGTTCCGACCCAGAGCGACCCTGTATAGGATTTCCGAGGAGCAGCTGGTGAACTTGAACCATTGACGTTGCAGTTCAAATGGCTTTGCAGTCTGGCTCATTAATCCACAAGGCTGCATCAGGACTCCACGATTTAGGATAGGCATACCTTAATCCTGAAACTGACATCTTTGCTCTTCAACACTTTAAAGAGGTCTTGTGCAACAGATTTGCCGAATGCAATACATCTTTTGATTTCTTGATTGCTGCTTCCATGACTTGATAGTTGAACCAGGAAAAATGTAGTCTTTGACAACTTTTATCTTTTCTCCATTTATATGGATGACTGTTTGTTGGTCCAGTGGTGAGAATTTTTGCTGGGTTTTTTTGTTGTTTTTTTGTGTGTGGTTTTTTTTTTTTTTTTTACATTGAAGTGCAATCCATATGGAAGGCTGTGACCTTCAATCTTCATTAGTATATTAAGTCCTCTTCACTTTCAGCAAGCAAAGTTGTATCATCTGCATATCTCAGGTTGTTAATGAGTCTTCTTCTTATCCTGATGCCACATATTCCATCATCTAATCCAGCTTCAATGATTATTTTATCAACAAACAGATTGAATAAGTCTAAGGAAAGAATATAACCCTAGCACACACTTTTCCTAATTTTAAGCCATTCAGTGTTTTCTTGTTCTATTTGAACAACTGCCTCTTGGTCTGTGTACAGATTCCTCATAAACACAATGAACTGTTCTGGAATAATCATTCTTTGAAATGTTGTCCATAGCTTGTATGATTCACACAATTGAAAGCCTTTGCATTGTCAATAAAGCAGAGGTAAACATCTATCTGGTAATCTCTGCTTTCTACCAAGATCCATCTGACACCAGCAATGATATCCCTCATTCCAAATCCCCTTCTGAATCTCTGTCAATGTGTTATTGAAGACATTTTTAAAAATTATCTTAAACAACACTTTGCTTCATGTGATGTTAATGTTTTCTGCATTCCATTGGTTCACATCTCTTTGGAATTGGCACAAATATGGATCTCTTCCAGTCAGATTGCTAGGTAGTTGTCTTCCAAATTTCTTGGCATAGATGAGTGAGTGCTTCCAGTGCTTCATCTGTTTGTTGAAAGACTTCAATTTGTAGTCCATCAATTCCTGGTGCTTTGTTCTTTGCCAATGCCTTGAATGCACCTTGGACTTCTTCCTTCAGGATCATTGGCTCTTGATCACATGCTACCTCTGGAAATGGTTGAACATTTATCATTTCTCTCTGGTGCAATGACTGTGCATATTCCTCCTGTCTTCTTTTGACACTTTTTGCATCATTCAATATTTTGTGCATGGAATCCTTCCATATTGCAAGTCGACGTTTGAATATTTTAGGTGATACCATCAACTTGAGGAATGCTGAGCGTGTTTTTCCCTTTTGGTTTTCTAATTCCAGGTCTGCTCACATTTCATTATAGTCTTTGACTTCGTCTTCTTGAGCTGCCTTTTGAAATATTCTATTCAGCTCTTTTACCTCCTTATTTCTTCTATTTGCTTTAGTATCTCTATGATGGAGAGCAAGTTTCAGAGTCTCTTCTGACATTTATTTTGATCTTTTACTTCTTTCTTGTGTTTGAGGACTTTATTTAGTATTAGGGTTATGATTAGGACTTGGGTTCATGTTAGGAGTAAGAATTACACTAAAGCTAGATGAAAATCTTGGGCTGGTTTTTAGGATTGATTACAGTTAGGTTTAATTTAGTTTTTCTTCTTGAAATATGATTTCCTCTTCATTTAGAAGTTCTGAAACTACATTATACCCTCTTCTTACTTTGTGGTTATGTTTTTTTGTATGGTGGCGGTTTTTTTGTATGGTGGCGGTTTTTTTGTTTTGTTTTGTTTTGTTTATTTTTAGTTGTTATTGTTGTTTTTGCAACTGTAGCTTTGGTTTTCTGTTTTCAGTCTTATAGGTCTGTTTTACTTTGCATGCTTCCATATCTGGGTGAGTCTCAATGACATTGTCATGCATGTTAGTCTCCGGTTATTGTCTGCTGTTGTTGAGTCTCTGTTCAAATAACTCATTTAGTATTTTTTGAAAGGTTTGTCTTGTTTTTACAAATTCTTTTCATTTCTGTTTGTCTGAAAAATGACCTAATTTTTGCTATCATATTTGATTGATAGTTTTGCTAGTTCTATGATTCCTTGCTGAAATATTTTTCCTTTCAGAGTTTTATGTAATTCCATTATCTTCTGGTTTGCACTGCTGAGAAATAAGTTACTCTTTTTAGTTCTCCTTTTTAAGTAACTTTTAAATTTTCCTGAGCTGCTTTCAGGATTCTTTCTTTGTCTTTAGCTTTTAAAAGTTTGATTATAATATGTATGTCTTAGTGTTTTTCTTTAGGAAAAGAAAAACTATACTGCTTGGAGTTTGTTCAACTTCTTGAGTCTTTTATCTTTCATGATGTTAGGGAACTTTTCTTCCAACAATTCTTGGGCAATATTCTCTATGTTCTGAAATTTCTATCACAAGTAAGCTGTTCCTCTAGACATTGTCCTACAGAAATCTTAGACTTTCTTCCTATATATTTTTGTTGTTGTTGTTGTTATTTTTCTGATTGTTTCTCTAGCAGATGAATATTGAGAAATTTTTCATCAAACTCAGTAATTCAGCTTTCCATCGATTCTATTTATTTGCCCTTTCAGTATATTATCTATTTCTGAAGTCTTAATCTTCTGGCTCTTATAACTGCTGTTTTTGTGTGTTCCACATTTTTTCAATTATTTTGTGACTGTTTCCCTGAAATTTTCCACAGTTTTGTCTGTTTCCATTAAGTTCATCTGCAGTTTCGATCAGTTGAATTAGCCTAATTAACATTCCTTTAAATTCCTTTTCAGCTAGTTCCAAAATATTTCTAGTGTTATACTTTCTGACTCTATTATGGTCACTTGTTTCAGACACTGTCTTGTTGCTTTGTATAAATTGAAATTATTTGTCTTATCTGAAACATTGTGGTGTCATATTTATAGTGAATTGTGGTGTCATATTTATAGTGAATTGATGATTGTATATTAGTGTATTCTTAGACACATAACATCTGTCACCTCAGAGAAATAGTAGAGATTGGAAGTGTGAATGAAGTTAGTTCTCTGTTCACTGTTTGTGAAGTGTAATTGAGAGTGGTTTCACATGTGCACCACCTGAAGCAGGGGCCAGGTGCCCAACCCCAGATAGAGCTAAGCCTATGCAGGACAGCATGCCACTGGATTGGTGAGGGCAGGGACTGGCCAGACCTCAATTTACCAGGAGGACAGGAAAACAAGAGAGAAGTGTAACCCCTTGTCACCAACATCCACCTGCATCCTGTGCCCTCCAGCCACTGTATCAACAGCCTCTCACAAAAGCTCACAATGGACATGTCACTCCATAGCAATCCACAATCTATCAGTTTATCTTCTCTCTCACTGCTTCTGTTCAACTTCTTCTTCTCATCGGCACTCAGTCTGATGTTCAGGGATCCAGGAACATCATTTGTATCTGTTTCACTGTCTCTCATGCTTTTTTTATAGAGAATCAACTCAGTGCATCTGCTTACTTACTTGCCCCGGAACCTAGCAAAGATACGTTTTTTTCAATCTTTCTTGGCACAACTTCCAAATACACAGGTAGCATTTTGTACCATTCTCTCTTAATGCTCAGCATGCGTGTTATCATTTTTCAGATCTAAATCTCCCAGGGAAGCAGTGAGTTCTTCAAAGTTGTTATAATAGGGAGTAAACTCAAATCAACACCTGTGGAGGATGTGAAGGATATATGATTGGGTAAAGGGAGGAAATGCCCATCTAAAGTCCAGACCTAACCTTTCAGTTAACATCACCACAGTCCTGAGACTAAAGATGTCAAAATTCTCTGTTTGAATGGTCCTAAGTTCACATCCCAGGTTTGTTTGTGCTTCTTTCCCTGGTCTATTAGCATGTGAGCAAACTGAAACTTTAGTGTGCACATTCCTAAACATAAGGAAATGGCTATTTTTGTCAGGTTATGAATGTGGCCTCCTGGTATCTAGTCATATGTGTGGGAAGGTACTAGAGATAAAACCAGATGTGGAAAGAGTAGTGACCAGAATTGTGGACATGTTCTCAACGCAGTTCAACTGAAGAGTTTCAAAGCATCTAAGAGTTTTAATATCAAATCTAGTCACACAATCATTATGACCAGGAGAAAGATAAAGTATATCTTATTTAAATTTTCATTTTCTCAATTGATAAGATTTTTTTTTTTTTTGTATATGGTAAAAGTGCCTGCATTTGTCTTCTTGCTCCAGGCTTTTCAGATGGACCTGAATGGAGTTGGGGTCAGAGAGGAAAGGGCTGGGGGAAATGTTATCAATTTAATACAATATGATAAGTGGTTTCAGTTAATCACATGTACAATGAACAGCAGAAGGTTTTTAATGAGTGAATAAAACACTTGTTGAAAATTATTATTACTGCATTGTCCTGGAGAGGTTAAAACAAAAACACAGTATGGATAAATTGAGACTCCTGTTGAGATTTTTTTCCCTTTAAAACCCCCACTAACGCAAAAAACAATATATGTCCTTGAGGACCCAAAGTGAATGAAAGTCAACCTCACTGAGCTGGAAGGACTCATAAAAAAGATTAAATGCAAATTTGGAAACATAATGCATTTTTAGCCATGCAAGTAAGGGATACATATTGTGTATCAATATGTGCAAAGCAATATGCCAGGAATCATGGGGGATATCAAGGTTAGTTCAGTAGAATAATGTTCCAAAGTACTTTCCACAAATTACACTTGTATGCTGTACTTGGTTCTTTCTTGAACTTCCTTGAAGGTTTGCTATTCCTATAAATAGTCCCATGTATTGGGGTGTTGGTGCCAAGAAAAACATGTCTAATGAGTAAAATGGTACGGGTTTAAGACAGGGGCAAGAGGGGTAATAAAGAAGGATACAAGAAATAGAATCAGGGAAACCACTAATTTCCTGGAAAGCCACTATGAAAGAAAGAAGTAAGAAAACTAAGGAAATACAAAAGGATAAAAAGCAACTTTGTTTACATACTCACATTCTACGTTGATGAATGAATTGAATATTGGAGTATACCTGCATACTGACGTTGTTGTTGCTAGTTGCCTTCCAGTCAGCTTTAAACTTCCACTGGGTTTGAACCACCAACCTTCATGCAACCAGCCTATCACTTAACCATTGTGTCACCAGGGTTTCTTATATCTCAAAATTATCAGATTCTATAACTTATTGTTGTTTTTAATGTTAGGGGTAGGCAGTACTGACTCATAGCGAACCTTTGAACAACAGAATGCAACACTGCCCAGTCCTGCACCAATCTTACAATTGTTGCTACATTTGAGCCAGCCATTTGCTGCTGCCACTTTGCCAGTGCGTTTCATTGCGGGGGTCTTCCTGTTTTTCTCTGACACTCTCCCAAACATGATTTCCTTCTCCAGGATCTAGTCCTTCCTGATATGTTTGAAGTAAAGAGACAAAGCCTGGCCATTCTAGCTTCCAGGAAGCATGCTATACTTATTTCAACACAGATTTGTTTGTTCTTTTGTCAGTCCGTGGTATAATCAATGTTCTCCTGCAAGACCATAACTCAAAAGCATCAATTATTCTTTGGTCTTCCTTATTCACTGTCCAGCTATCGCATGCATATGAGGTTATTGAAAATACCATGGCTTGGGTCAGGCACACCTTCATCCTCAACTGACATCTTTGCTCTTCAACACTTTAAAGAGGTCTTATGCAGTACATTTGTCTGATGTAATACATTGATTTCTTGACTGCTGCTTCCATGAATGTTAATGGTTGTTACGAGCAAAGTGAAGTCTTCGACAACTGCAGTATTTTCTCCATGTATATGGATGTTGTTTATTGGTCTAGTGGTGAGGATTTTTGTTTTCTTTACACTGAGGTGAACACATACCAAAGGCTGTGGTCTTTGATCTTTATCAGTAAGTATTTTAACTCTTTACTTTCAGCAAGCAAGGCTGTATAGTTAATGAGGTGTCCTCCAATCCTGATGCCATGTTTTTCTTCATGTGATCTAGTTTCTTAGATTATGTGCTCAGCATACAGATTATATGAGTATGGAGAAAGAATAAAATGCTGGCACACACCTTTCCTAATTTCAAACCATTCAGTGTTTCCTTGTTCTGTTTGAACAACTGTCTCTTGGTCTATGTGCAGGTTCCTCAAAAGAACAAGTAAGTTCCAAAATACTCATTCTCTGCAATGTTGTCCAAAGCTTGTCATTATCCACACAATCAAAAGCCTTTACATTGTCAATAAAGCACAAGTAAGCATATTTCCTGTATTCTCTGCTTTCAGCCAATATCCATCTGTTATTAGCACATCTCATTCCACATCCTCTTCTGAATCCAGCTTGAAATTCAGGAAGTTCTCTGTCAAATTTAATAGAGAAACACTATTAAGAGAAACTTAAACCCACCCAGAGGCCATGTGTGAAAAGGACTTGGGGACCTGCTTCCATAAAAATCACTTTCACGATCCTTTTAGAGAAGTCCTGCTCTACCACATGGGGTCACTAGGAGTCAGTATCAATGGTGCTTAATACAACATAGGTTTATTATTGTTATTTAAAAAACAAAAAATATTGAAATAACAAAAAATGTATTAGAGAAAGACTAGAGTTCTCCACATGAAAGATGGAGAGATTTGCACTAGTCTATTTTTTTAGCATATTGTTGTTATTAAATTATGTAGCATTTCTTTTGTTTTTAACATATATGGATGATATTATAGCTAGGTATACATGTCTTGGCTTACATCTTTTCTCCCTCAACACTCAGTAGGCTTACTCCATTATCTTCTTCCCTTTAGATCTGGTATGGAAAATCTGGAGAAATCCTGTTTTTTTCCCCTTTTTTGTTGGCAGATTTCTTAACCAGCATTACGATGAGACCCTTTACTAGTAACTTCACCAATATATGTCTTTGTCTTAGTTCATCTTTGTTGAATTTTTGCTACTAAACGATGAGCCTTTTCAGCTCTTAAATGCAGAGATACCTTTCCTAACTTCTGGGAAATTTTCTATTGTTATATCTTTGATGTTTCCCTCTTTTATTTGTTCGGCTTTCTTTCAAGAACACCAGTTAATGCATGTGTTGGTTCAATATCCTTATTTTTATAAGTATTATCTTTCTTTAATAATAGCTTTCATTCCTTCTTCCTTTTCCACTACATGCAGGATTTTCTTTTTCACTGCACTCAAACTTTGAAAACCTTTTCTGGTATGTCAGGTGTATGTTTTTCTGTTTCTAATGTGGCTTTCATGTCTATAATTCCTTCCCACTCTTTTTGCTTATTTATTTATTTATTTATTTTCGGTTCAATTAAAGTGAAACTTTATTGAGGGCAGGGCCATGGGGCTCAGAAGAACCCCACTAGCGGAAGCAGGGGAGCCAGCAGAGAGGAGTCCTTATTATTTGACCTTCTTCTTGGGGCGCAGGTTGTTGGTGTGGTCGCACTTCTTCTTGCGGCAGTTCACAGCACGGGGGTGGAGGCTGGAGGCGAGCATAGCACTTGGAGCAGATCATCTTGTCACAGTTGTACTTCTGGGCGTGCTGGCGCAGGAAAGACTCAATGATGTCACCGCGAAAACGCAGCACCAGGTGCAGGGTGGACTCTTTCTAGATGTTGTAGTCTGAGAGAGTGCGGCCATCCTCCAGCTGTTTTACCCACAAAAATCAGAGGTTGCTGGTCAGGGGGATACCCTCCTTGTCTTGGATTTTGGCTTTGACATTCTCGATGGTGTCACTGGGCTCCACCTCAAGAGTGATGGTCTTGCCCGTCAGGGTCTTCACAAAGATCTGCATCTCTTCATCTGCCGCTTGGCCGCCTTGCTGAAGAGAAAGAGCTCTTTTTGCTTAATTTTTATCTATTTTCTTTTTTATCTCTGTCATCTTTTCTGGTATCATATTCCATTTTTTTTTCTTTTTTAGTTGTGCTGTTTGTTGTTGTTGATGTTGACTTTTTGTTGTTGATAACAGTTTTTTGTTTTCATTTATCTTTTATCTTTTTGCTTTCCCTTCACCCAAGTTAATATGTGTCTATCCTCTAGTGCTGATGTTATGCTATAGGATCAGTACTGGACTGCTAACCACAAGGTTGGCCATTGAAACCCACCAGTTGCTCCTCAGAAATCCTAGACAGGGTCACTATGAGTTGGAATCAACTCAATGGCACTTAACAACAATATCCTCTAGTTAAGGATTTACCTTCCTCAAACTCTCACCCCTGCTAACCATTAAATAATGTTTTCTTGACTTTTTAAATTAGTCAAGTTGTTGACTTGTTTTTATTAAATTCCATAGGCTCATATAATATTTGTCTTTTAGTGATTAACTTACTTTTCTCAGCATAACAGCCTCCAGGTTCATCCGTGCTATGACAGATGGATGATGGCAAAGTTTTTATACTCTCTGATTAATGAATGAGCTCTAAAATCTAACTTCATAGTTGTAACTCCAAACTTTCACATTTTGGACCCCTGATCAGAAAAGTATCTTATTCTCATTCATCAGTGAACAAAATCAGCTTTATGACAATACTCATTTTAACACATTATAGAGAAGGTTTAAGACTTCTTCCTTTCTTAATTTTTTCAGATATATGAGCCCTGAGACAATAAAGAAATACTCTGAAAACAAAAAATTGCTTTTCATTATGAGAAAATTACTGCTCAATTGGGTATACAATACAAGAAAAGAAAAGGGCTCCAAATCAGGGTAAGTACTTACGAATCTTACTAGAAATTGGATCGTATTCATATGAAATTCGCTGTTTATTTCTTTTTAAATTTACATTTTGGCAACTTTTCAAAGTATTCTGCAAAGGTCTACAATGAAATTACACTCACCATATCAAAAATGTACTTTAAAAAATATAAGAGATAGATATAATAACATTTCATTTAGGTGAAATACAAATAACAAAGGAAGAACAAATATTCAATTATTTATTCATTGAAATGTTCTATCATTCAAAGTTAAAATAGTGGGGAAATCTCATGTTTTTAAATTATATTACTATTGTTTAAAAAAAAAATGCAATGTTATTGTTGTTTTAGGTGCCATCGAGTCGGTACCGACCCATAGCGACCTTATGCACAGCAGAACAAAACACTGCCCGATCCTGGGCCAACCTCACTATTGTTGTCACGCTTGAGTCCATCAATGATGCCACTTGGTCAATCCATCTCATTCCTCTTTTCCTCTGACCCTCCACCTTACCAAACATGATATCCTTCTCCAGTGACTGCACACTCCTGACAATATGTTCAAATTATGAGGGACAAAATTGGGTCATCTTGGCTTCTAAGGAGCGCTTAGGCTGCACTTCTTCCAAAATGGATCTTTGGAATGGGCACAAATATGGATATCCTCCAACCAATCGGCCAGATAGTTGTCTTCTAAATTTTCTGGCAGAGGGGAGTGAGTGCCTCCTGTGCCACCTTACTTTCTTGAAATATTTCAATTTTTATTCCATCAATTCCTGGTGCCTTGTTCTTTGCCAATTTCTTCAATGCACCTGGCCTTGTTTTAACTAATGATATGGACTTCCTCCCTAAGTATCATTGGCTCTTGATCAAATGGTAACTCTTGAAACGGTTGAATATTAACCATTTCCTTTTGGTACAGTGACTCTGTGTATTCTTTCAATCTTCTCTTGATGCTTTCTGCAGTATTCAATAATTTTCCCAGAGAATCTTTCAATAATGAAAGTCGAGGCTTGATTTTTTTCTTCAGTTCCCCTAGCTTGAGAAATGCTGAGCATCTTCTTACTTTTTGGTATTCTGACTCCAGATCTTTGCACATTGTATTGTAATATTTAGCTTTATCTTCTCTAGCTAATCTTTGAACTTTTCTGTTCAGCTCTTTGACCTCCTCATATCTTCCATTTGCTTTAGCATTTCTACACTGAAGAAATGTCTCTTCTGACATCCATTTTGACTTTTTCCTTATTTCTTGTCTTCTCAATGACTTTTTGCTTTGTGGATGATGTTCTTGATGTCATCCCACAACTCTTCTGGTCTTTGGTCTTTAGTGTTTAATGTATCAAATCTGTTCTTTAGATGATCTCTAAATTCAGGTAGGATATACTCAAGGTCATATTTTGGTTCTTGCAGTCTTGTTTTCATTTTCTTCAGCTTCAGTTTGAATTTGTATATGAGTAATTGATGGTCTGTTCCACAGGTCTGCCCTGGCCATGTTTTCACTGATGATACAGAGCTTCCCCATCTTCTCTTTCCTCAGATGTAGTCAATTTGATTTCTATGTTTTCCATCTGGTGAGGTCCATGTGTATAGACATCTGTTATGCTATCTAAAGAACAAATAATTGAAATGAACAAATCACTGGTTATGCAGAATTCTATCATGCATTTTCCAGCATTACTTCTATCACCAAGGCCATATTTTCCAACTACTGATCTTTCCTCTTTGCTCCCAACCTTTGCATTCCAATCACCAGTAATGATCTTGATTGCATGTTTGATCAATTTCAGATTGAAGAAGTTGGTAGAATTCTTCTATTTCATCCT